CCCAAAAAAGAGAAGGATACACCAAGAAAGCACCAGTATCCACCTTGGATCAGCGTAAACTATCGCCCACCGATTGGCTCGATCTATCTGGCATACCCCGACCCTCTATCAGGTTTCGGCATAAGCTGAATCCTCGATGGCAAGCGTGCTATCGCAAATCGTCAGGCGTGCGATTACCTTTCCCTCCACGCTCCTACGGATTCTTCTACTATCACCAGCCTCCAGGCGCACCTCTTCTTTCCGGAGAACTCCGCTTCCGCCTCACTTCCAACAATCTTCCCGAAAGTTTCAATCAAGGCAAAGATTGTCTTACCCCAGAAGGAGACGCTTGGAAGATCCCCCTCTTTGTCCTGCATCATACTCCATTTCATCGGCATGTGTATCAACAACTTCGGGTCGATGGGTTCGTCTCCGACGCACTAGATTCACAGCTCAAGAGCATTGCACAGACTTCGGTCCGTCCCCGGAGCAACAGCGTTATTCTACATTCGCTTCACCAAGTATTTCCTATTGATTTTTCGGCAATGAAATTCAGTTTCTTCGTGGCGGGAGACTCAACTTTGCAAAAAGTTTTCATTGAACGTCCCTTCCGACTGTGTGTCGAGGGATACGGGAGGGCATCTTGCTACACAGGTGCGGTATAATTTTTTTTTAGGGACAACCTTTTCGTTAAAATTGACTGCGGATGCTTGTAGGTAAGGGGTTGGTCCGCTTTGAGCTGTCAACACTACCAGAGCATGCAGGTACTAGAACGGTGGTGATGCGTGTCGTGAAATTAGTCGGAGATTCTGGGCCTTACATGGGGAAAGATCGACCACAAGAAGGAGCCTTGGTATTGCGACATCATCCTGCCGGCGGGAAACCCAAGTTGCTCTCTCTCAACGTTGATCGGAATACACCTGTATATGGGTCAAAGGGCTTTTCGCATCCTGATGGGCTGCCTTTGCTTATCGCAAATACTTTTGGCGACAAGCAGTCTAGCCCATAGCTGTGTCCCCATTTATCGTCCTCCCCAGTGTGAAGCTTAAAAGTCAGGATTTGCAAGGGTTTTATCTAACTTGCTGCCACATCTCCTTCCTCAGCGTCGCTTTCGACGGGCGTCTTTTATGCCAGAGGCCAAAATCACTGGGAAGTGTTACTGTTTCTTGTGGTTCGCATCGCATATCGGCGGTCTGTTGTGGTTCCATCACCTTTGGAACATACCCCACACTTCTACGACAAGTTCCTCCTAAACAACAACCATATTGTGCCCAAACCGAGCGATGGGATATACATATAGAGAGTTTTCTCCTCGCCCCTCCCTGGGTTAAGCACAACTTGCTCAGCCGAATACTTCCCCTGTTCGTCTGCGTCGTCCAATTCCACGACTCCAAGGCCGGGACGCCAACACGCCCTGTCATTAATGCGCAATGCTGTTCCTGCGCTCCTTCATAAGTTTGGACTGACGGATTA